CACACGGCGGAAACTACTCGCTCGTGTCTATCGGGTATCGTCTGCTTCACTCACAAAGTTGCAGAATGTGGATGGTTCGGAGATAGCTTGATTTTACTTTGTTCGGCTAGGATATTTCGCAATCCAATCACTAACCTCAACAAAAAACGTTTGTTGCAATCCGATTATCGTATTCCTGTAACTGAAAGGCTGACTTGACGGAACGCCACTTATGAGGTTGCTGAAAACTCTTCGGCAGCCCGCGACCGGTTTCGTCCTTCTTTGGGCTCATCAGGTAGGCACAACCCTTGAGTTCTTTAGCAACCGAAAGAAGACAGCCTTTGTGCTGTGAATTTGGTTGAAGAACGTTATAAACGAGATTCACCTGAAATCAGTCGAGTTTCCATCATCATCATCATTGTCAGCTGCCGCAGTTTCGTTCACCGATGATTTGGGAGGGGGGTAGGTAGCTGCTCATTGCACGCGCGAGCTGGTAAATTGGTGCATTGGTGCACTGTCAGTGGGCTGTCAAGTGGGATGGTTGGAAAAGGAGCTATGCATTGAAGGCAATAGCTTGGATGCACGAGCGCCATTGAGGGCGCGACTGGGCCATGTCTGATAATGTCTCTAGCCATTGAGGTGGCCAATCTCGGGGTCCCCATCCAGGAAGACGGCAGTGACCAGCGCAGCTGAGTTCGCTGGTAATGGCTTTCACACTTTGCTGCCAAGCCATTGTTTGGCCGCCTCTGGCTCTCTTCCACCCTTCACATGGTTAACCGAAAAGAGCCCTTCGAGGAAGTCGGTCGACTGGCATACGCAACACGTGGCCAAGCCAGCGCAACCTGTGCAGTGTGATCAGTTCATCTATCGAGGGTGAGTTATTTCCCCCGAATACCATTTGACGTACTTCAGCATTGCTGATCCGGTGTTCCCACCAGATTCGGGCAATGCTCCGAAGACATCGATGGTCAAATACTGAAAGTCTTTTGACGTCCTCGGTGCGCAGCGGCCAGGTTTCTGATTCATATAGTAATATGGAGCGCACCGCAGCATTGTAAACTCGACTCCTGACAGAAAAGCTGATGTCACGCCTACACCACAGGTGACGTAGGTTTGCGGAAGCTGCTCTGGCCTTCCCAATCCGGATGGAAATATCACCTTTCGCGAGACCACCGGGACTGATACAGCTGCCCAGGTAAACAAATTTGTCTAATACCTCAATCGGTTCATCCGCAAGCAGGAGGCTAGGGTTCGAGCCCACCCGTTAATACCAAATCAGTATGACGCAACAAACCTACGTTCTTGTTTGATTTTCACCAAATCCTCTTTACCGACAAGTGCATAATCTCTGTTTTATTTAGAGCGCTTGATAAATATCATCCACTTCTCGTTGTACAATCATCGACAGTCTCTCGGTCGCAGCAGAAAACCTACAGAGAGTAAGTCACAAACCTTTTGTTCTTTTGAGCTAATCCAGGTTAATATGCAGCTAAGCTACAGATTCATCTTCGCGGATCCTTTCGCTTCAGCTTTGTAATGTCTTCAACCTACCTCAATCGGTCGCCTCTCTAATCAGATATTCTCCCTTTGAATGGTAGTATTCATTTAGAGGCTTCTAGATTCGTCGAAATACTCGTGTTATGCTGTACACTTCCTGTTATTCACGGAGAATACAATATCTACAAATTGCACCGCCCCCCGGCTTATCTCAGGTTTTCGTCATCCCGATTTGTTCATTTACTCGGTTTCGCTCTAAAAAAAAGTTGATTCGACAACCGCTTTAGACATCCTGAACAACTAAGGAAGGAAAAGCGTGCTCATTAGTCTGAAGTGCTTGCTTCAACCAATGAGCCCACTACGCGAAAATGAAAGAATATACGTGATGTAGTGTTTGCTTGAAGTTTCCAGCTGCTTCGTCAGGATTCCGAGACTACACAAGTGCATCAACTTCGTGTGTGGGAGAAGTCAGAGTGCCAGTCCTTAATGTCTGAATTTAGAAGGATGTCGCCATCGTTTTGAGCCCACTTATCCTACAAGATGACAACATCCACTCAATATAGTTTTGTCCCCCCTGAAGAAACCATTAGGAGGACCAACCAAAACTTATCGATTCTGAGAAGTGGTATCCCGTGCTAGTATAAAAACAAGGGAAAACCATTAAGCATAATCAAAATACGATGCTAAACCGTTTAGCCTCATGTCTTGCCGTTTATATTTGAGATATAAAATTCGCAATTTCCCAGTTTTCTTAAGCGCGAGCCGCATCAGTTAATCCGATGGATCTAATTGAGACGAAGAATTGCCCATCAGATGCTCGATCGCCGTGACCGCAGATTACAACCGATTACCATGCACTACAGCATAAAAACATATGGCTTGCGATATTTCAGTCCTATGGGCGTAGAGCACCGCAGGTTGCTGAGCTAATTTGGACATCTGAGGGGTCAGGATACTGAGTATGGCTGTGACTTTCACTCATTTATCTACGTACCCAACCCATGAACTCGCATACAACGGGCGCTTGGTTTGTGTGGCTGTCTACCAAGCCCGAAACGGACAGCCGTTAGAATATACATATGTGGTTGCATTTCACACAAACCGGACATGTTCTTTGCTGAGGGTTTTTGACTGAGCATTAGCCTCTTCAAGATCTCACAATTCAACAGAATATCCGAAGAGCGGATTAACGGAGGGTGGGATGGTCTCTCCAGACAGGTTATGTCTTATCAAGATATTCACCGACATCGTGCCGACGGTTCCTTTCTTCGGGACAAATCGACGTCCATCAGATGTCCTGCCTTACCTTGTTTGCTTCATTGTTTTGTTCCTCAGCAAAGGTAACTATGTAGTGAAGTGTACTTTCTTCCATACACTGTCCGTACTTCTTACCGCGCACAAACAAACCTTTCTGTTGAGTTCTCCGCATTCCCGTTGAGATGACCCGTTACTACTATAGCTAGAGCTGAGAAGGCTAACCACTACTACTTCTGACTTATGTTGGACTGCACATACTGAGATGGTCCTTTCTACAGGGAAGTTGTACCATTTTCTGGCGTAGACTTCGTTCTGTTTGGGAAACTTTCGGCAAAATTCTTTCTTTCGCCCCTTCGTTCGGCCCACTCACGGATCAGTCAGGCAGTCAGACGAATAATACCGTAAAGCATGTTTAGATCTGTACTACTCTCGAGAAAAGTCGTTATTCCGTTTTCAGTTCGCCATCTCACCAGGAGTGAAACGGCCACGGCTAGATTTGAGGCGCTTCGCCTTAGTATAGTCTGTTTTCTTCAGTTCTGAGCATATTTTTTGCGTGCAGTCCTTTCTTTGTATCTCCCGATGGTTTAAGAACTTAGGGTACATCACAGTCGTATAAAATTTCATTCTCCTGTTTCTCTCAGCACATTCCCCTCCCGCATAATTTTATCAACCCAGCTTGGCAGCATCGTGTGGCCGGAAACAACCGCAATTCACTCATTTCGGGGTACACCTCTGGACTCCGACCAGGGCATCGTGAGGCCACGCCTATCTATCCGCTTCCCCTCTTAAAAGCGCCGGTTGATACAAAGGAACTGAGTTTATCACCTGTAAAACGTCTCTGTAGCTCAACATTACCGAGTTGAGTTGGCTGAGGAGCTCTCAGAACTCGGTGGACACAAAGATGATTTGGATGACGACTGAGAAAAGGTGAAGGCCATGAACAGAGCCCTTGTCACCATCTGTCTGAGGAAGCTCGCACACCCCAATGAACACTGGCTCCCATCACGATCAGCAGCTGTTTGAAGCCAGGAAAACTATATCAGCAAATAACGACTGAGGTGGCGCCAGCCATTCCCTCAAACGCCGAATGAAGGATTGACAAAGTGCGCTGAACCGGAAAGCCCAGGAAATGGATATAGCTCCCACAACAGGGAACAAGCGCACCCTGTTCTGGATAATCCGGTCGACTTGACAAACTGCCAACATCGGCGAACAGGACGATATCTGAATCGAACGATTATTTTGATTTATTTGCTACCACCCACGACTGGGGTTTGTCAAATCCCCTTCAGATTATCTACATGTTTCCCTCTTCCCTCGCTATTTGACCTCCAGAAACTCTATCCATCGGCTGTGGACTCATCCAGCACTCCCCAAGTTGTTCTTTTCCTGGTTTTCCACTTTTTAAACTATTTATTCGGGCTGCCTCATGTGGCTGTGGCATGGATCCCCAAAAATTCCATTTTCTACTCCCCGAAAATTCTTTTCCCCTCTCCATTGCTTCCGATCTACAAATCTCGCATTTGTTGCACCATCGATTATCGTTATGATGACTTCTACCTACCCGTCGATTCTGGAAAAAGTGCGACAGAAAGTTTTCCACCTCATTTTCGTTGCACCCTGACCGATGACTAACCCTTCTTACCTTCGGAACACAGCATTTTTTTTTCATTAGTCAGTCCCTACTACCGCCGCTGTTATCCTGAACCCTCAACTGCTAAGGATATTAGTTGATACAACTGGCCTTCTCACTTTCAGTTACCTCTACCAGGTGAAAATCCCCTACTCTTACTTTCGTTTTCCGCCAGAACCACACAGTTCTGAAGCACCCTCGTGCTGTCTTTCTGGCTTCTTACATCTGTTCATTGAAAATGGCTGAATCCTAAATTTTTCCAGGTTAAACCTATGATTACTCGCTTGCCAAGTATTTTGAATGTTTTGGTAAATTTGTGTGAATGTTGTTTTCATGATCCTCGCACGTGGTGTACACTAGGAGGGTGCGAACAAACACGTGGCGCCTGCACTTACCCGATCAATGGATCTAAAAAACAAACCGTTCAGCTATAGCACCGTTTCGGTGTCTAACTGCCATACCACCCGAAAGAAGCACAAGGGCTTGGATACCGCCAGGTTGCCCGAATCTAGCAGGGGAAGTCGAGAGGTAGGGTCAGGTTCGAACCACGGACCTTTCGGTCAATAAATTCGCGCTCTAACCACTGAGCTATCTGGCTCCTGATCGATAAATAGCCGCAAAAAATAATCTCTAGGAGATGTATCCCTCGGCTCTACAGTCAAGCAACTGGAGGACGGATCCGAGGCCGGAAAACGGATAGCGCCAACAGAATCTAAGTGGTCACACGTTACCTACTTTGAATTTGACGTGGTTACTGTCGTTCACTGTGAAAGTCGATAGGTACGCGCAATTCAAGATGACTCGTCAATACCAACAGCAAAATGGAACGCGACCTAAAGTAAAAGGTGCAAAGCCTACAAGATGTCCTTGAAAAAAGGAAGGACATCGAAGCTTTCTTCACACCAAAGATCAAAGAAACTAGAAGGCGTCTCAACCCGATATTTCAATAGGCCGACTCGTCCACAAGTAAGAGGTAGCAGACTGTAAAAGCAAAGCGTACTAAGAACTGCACCGTATATTGAACGAATACAGTTGAATGGCTCGTGGCTCGAAGGATCTAAGTTCGGAAACTAACATAATGACCACTAGTCGTCAGACAGCTTAATCGGTTTGCCATTTTTATCAACGGTCTTCAAGACACCTGACTGAAGGAGACATTCCCATTCTGCCTGAGGATCATAATGTCTGAAAGTCGGGGATATAGTAACTCCAACAAGAAGACTGTCTTACCTGGCGAATGCCTTGAAGGGCTTTCTTCTAAAGTAGCTGTGATAACTGACGGTGACGTAGGTGAGCATTGCTGCCCCAATTATGCCAATAATGACACCTTTAGCAGCGATCGGCCCACGAAAATGACGTAACTTCGATGGATCCATTGGTCTGGAAATACAGAGGAAAACTGTTGGTAGACACCACATATTCATTAGCAATTCCATCATCAACATAGGCGGCAAAACACCAGTAGTGAGAACTGGTGCTTAACTGCCATATTAGATAATGAAAAAAGATGTGGTGGGGAATTAACCCGAAAAGTCATAGTCCTTAGGTAGAACGTTTATGCCCGTCA